TCAGGAGACATGCCTCACTTAGAGGTTTTCACCACTTGGGCACATGTTCATTTTAAGATGGGATAGCTGCAAAGTCTTTCCTACCAGTTTGATTTGTATAACTCTGAGTTGTAAAATGGGACTGATGGCAAAGTGATTGGTTATAGATAATTAATATAATCAATTAAATTGGTTAATGATAATTAAAGAGAAACAAAGAAGAAAACTGAACAAAGGATATATTCTGTGCAAACTTTGAAGTTTAGACTGTTTCAGGGGTCCTTGTCATGGTAAGAAAGATGTCCACCTCACCACCACCACTACCACCTAAAAAGAATAGCAGACAAGTGACAAAAGGAGGCTCTTGGTAACATGGGAATTAAGAGAAGGATAAACTAATGCTATACACATGAAGAGGGAGGAGGAAGTTGTTGTGGACACAGGCAATGCCTCCAACATCCTGCACAGAGATTTGTGATCAGGTTAGAGTCACTTTACCCCTTCCCCAGGGCATTAGAGAGGAATGGATCAGGCCTGACATCTTGAAGCTCAGCTTTTCCAGAGGCCTAAGAAGGAGGGCAAAACAGATAGAGCCAGATTCTTCTTGCTGGCCTTTTTATATCCAATTCTTTAATTTCTACATTTACAAATTAAAATGTTTTCCATTTAAATCCAAGAGAAAAGCTTCTGAAGGCAGTAAAAATCACTCTAGTTCTTTAGTGGTTAAGAGTATATGGGGCTTTGGAGTGAGGGAAAACTAGTTTTGAATCTATGCAACTCGCATATTTATAGTTAAGTATTTAAATCCCTAAGTTTTAGTTCCCACATTTGAAAAAAAAATGAGAATGCATATACCATAAAGCTGTTGTGAAAAGATTGAATTACACATGTAGATTGTGCAGCACATGTGCTATCTGGCAAAGGATTATTAACAATAAAAATTTTATTCAATAAGGACTATTAGTTTTTGCTGTAATGTTCTCTAATCATCCATTCAAAGCTCTGCCTCATCTTACATTGCTGCTTTTTGTCTGTTTCTTCACATTCGGGTTCCAGTTTGACCTGCTTCCCCAGATAATACTGCCCCTGCTTCAAAAACTCTTGGCTCCTATGTTCTTTGTTATATCTAGAATTATTTACAAATTCAATACCAACAATAGACAAAAGTTTTAAATCCAAAAAGGAATACATGACATTTGAAGAGCACGTTTCTTAAGTTCTAAAGATATTCTTTATCCTTTATGACACTAACCCTGAGACTATGCATGTCAAGTGAACAGGGAACAAGGATTGTATTATTGTTTTCTAGCCTCATAGGAGGTTAAAATGACTTAGCAAAAGTAAGTGGATGGCCTAACATGAAGAATCTTACATTCTTTTTTTAATTAATTTATTTTTTTTAGTTTGTAAATGGACACAATATCTTTATTTTTATTTATTTAGTTTATGTGGTGCTGAGGATCAAACCCAGGGCCTTATGCGTGCGAGGCAAGTGCTCTATCACTGAGCTAAAATGCCAGCCCAAGAATCTTGAATTCTTGATTCCAAACCTGCCAGGTCTCCTTTCCCTTCATTTTGCAAAGTCATCCTAGAGAGGATGATCCTAAGTGTTATTCTTATATTATATATTCATTTTTATTACACAGCTAAGATGCTTTCTGGATTTGTATTGACCCCTTAATATTACCCTTATAACACAGGGAGAAATCTGTAATTCCTTGTTAAACAGCCAAAGCCATCCTGTCACCAAAGCTATCATATGTTAGATCACATGTCAGTGTCTGCAACCTAGCCAGGCCTTAGCTCTCAGGATCTACTTGTTGCAAGTGAGTTTATGTGCCTTGAAGCATATGGCCTTGATATATGATACCAGAGCAAAAGAGCAAGGTATTTCAAGCTGGCCACAATTTTATTGACTCTCACAAGCTTGCTTTGTAGTTGTTCCAGTAAACTAGATGAGAAATTTCTGATGCTCCAAGCCATCCAGTGTTCAGGACTCCATTTCATGATTCAGAATCCAACAAAACAACTCAAGAGTGCTGTTGTGTGACCCTGTGACCACATGGATAAATAATTGCTTAGTAATTCTTTTTGAGGCAGAAAATTCTAAACATGGAGGAACCATTTCCCCTTAATAGGAGCCAGAAATCCTATGAGTGCTTGAAATGGCATTCACAAGTCTGAATGGTAAACAGATAAAAACAGGAGCGCACCAGTTGCACAAATGACTTGCTTGTCACAAACTTGTCATTGCAGTAATCTAACATTTCTTTCACAGAGCCCGACGGAAAGTATGAAACAAACAGGCCCTGCTGACGTTTTGGCTCTGTTAAGCCTTCCTCCAAGCTAAAGCATCTGCAGCATCTTCCTGTTCTAGACCCTTTATCTGCTGAAGTTAGCTGATACTGTACATGTCAAAGAAATGTTTGACTATTGCATAAACAAGTTGATGACAAGCAAGTTATTCCTGCAATTGAAATACTGCTGCTTTTAGCAGGCTGCCATTTTGACCTTCATTTTATTATAAAGAAGAACCTTAACAGAGCAAAGCACTGGAAAGATACCAGCATTGTTGGCCCAGGCTTGTGCAGGTCAACAAAGACCACCTATCTGGTCATAGGTGTGGTGGTATAGTGGGCATACTAGGCAATTCCATCAGAGTTATGAATGGGATTTCCTAGTAAAATATAGATGTTTTGAATACATTGGACTATCCCAAGGATTGCTCTTGGAGGGGTAAAATCAACTACACGAAAGTTCATTTTCTTTTGCTTTCTTTCTATTCCATACCCCCACACAAGTGCATGCACATACACACACCTGGGTATGCTTTATCAAATGTTAATGGCTGGGACACTTAAATGAAAATTGTATATTCCCACTATATACATTGTTTTTGCCAGTTCTTGCTGTTCCTCCTTATTGGTGGCCTCCCCTACTCTACTTCTCATTTGGCATAGTATCTAGAACATCTTAATCTAATCAGAGATATGCCCTTATCTCCTGAAAGGCAAGTAGGTAGCGCCCTCACAGAAACCTCAGGCAGCCCTCCCTAAGACCTCGCTAGTTCATCCCAACCTCGGCTGCCAGCAGGGAGTGCTCACACACTGTGTAACTGTTGACTCTTGTCTGAAGAGTCCTCCTCCCCTGGGGGACCCACCCTCAGTGGGTCCCAGCCTTATCAGCCTACAGAGCCTGGCTGGAGCCTGTAATAGGAGCTTGCCTATGGCCCACCCTGCTAAGCATTCTGCTTTTGTTGGTGCCATAGGATATCAGCACTTGGAACAATGGAGCATTTGCCCTAAGACTGTGGCTTTTCATAATACTGAGCTTCTCTTATTCACCAGGGTGTCAGGTGCCTTGTATTCTTTTTAGACCCTTCAGGTCTGTTCAGGGTACACTGATGCTGTCTGGTCTATTTTAAATATTAACATGAAAAACTTTCATTCTCTGACTTAAGTTGTGGCTAGTGCCACAGATGCTTTCATTTTTAAAAGTCTTGTGTAAAAATGATTATCATTGTTCAGCCATGAGAGCCAAATTTCTTGCCAAAGTGGTGTAGGCTTTAATTTTCTTTTAGACTTGGCAAACTGACCACAATACTGTCTCCCAGATGAATTCTTTACTCCCATCCCAAATATCTCATGCTGTAATCTATACCTCCGCTTTATGGAACAACTACCTCAAAGGACAGGTGGAAAGAGTGTGAGAAGAGGGCCCAGTTCTTGATACAGTTAAGGACATTGTCTCTGGAAAAGGAAGTGAGGATAGTTTGAGGCAGCAATTGAAGGTTTCTCAAAAGAAAATATGTGAATGAGCAATTTGAATTTTAAATAGAGTTTTACTGACTTTTTCTTTCTTTTTAAAGTTCCTAATAGGATTTCCATAATGATTTTGTGTTTTCTTTCTTAATAGAACTTAAATGGCAAAGAAATGATATGCTATTTTTGATTCAGAAAAAAACAAAAGTCTTTTTTATGGGAACTCTCTTTTTAAATACACATTAGGAAATAGATAATGGGGGGGGGGTTTCTCTTCCTATCAGGGGAGAGCTAATTAGTGTGTACGCTTGTGCTTTTAATATTTATTTACTTATTTGATTATGTATTTATTTTAAGAAAGTAAGAAAAGAAGGAAAACACCTCTTATACTAAAGTAAATTCTTTGGATTCATAGAAATTTCGGGCATAAAAGCGTTTTGAGCAGACTGACTTTATATCACACTCTGACTTGAGAAATCTGGATACTAAGACCCAAAGATATTTAATAAAATGAACCAACATATACAATAGTCTTGTGGCAAAGCAAGGCCTAAAACCAAGGGCTGACTTTCAATTCATGCAACACCCCTCAGAGATTACATTACATTTTTAAACCTTTCTTTTAAACAAAGTCTCATTTCAGTAATTTGCATTGGTGTGCTTAAGTCTAATAGGGCAGTTGCTGTTACAGTAACTAGGACTTGGTACCGGCTAAGCTCAGGAATGTACATTTGAACAGACTGAAGATTTTTTTTTTCTTAGTTGTATTTTATCTGAGTAGTGTAAGGAATCTTTATTATTTCTGTTATTTTTTTTTCTTTTAAAAGACTTCAATGAAACATTTATTCTGTTACCATCTTGTACATGAAAACATTTTTTAAATAGGTCTGTTCTTTTAATAAGTATTCACTTAAGTAGGTCATATTCTAACATTCTTGGAGATAAAAAAAAATTATCAGATTAGCAGAAATCTGTGTTTATTTCCCCCACTTTTAGCTATGTTTGAATTGGTCCTTGTAATTGTTAGTTTCAACAAAACACTGATTAAGTCAAAACATCAATGTTTTTGTTTGTTTGTTTAGGTTCTTTTTGTTTAACACCAGAAGAAAATAAAATACGCATTTACCTTATCACAGCTATGATAATTACATACTCTATTTTTAATTTATGCAAAACTTATTTTTGAGGGTTTTCTTTTTGTTTCATTTCTCTGTTTTTGCATTTTCCAAACATCTGTACCGTGGCTGGTGGCAAGAGTAGCAGTGGCTGGCACTTTTCCTCCACATTGTGAGAGATAGAGAATTGGCTGGAATAAAACCTTGCTTTCCATATGGTCAACTTGAAATGCAGCATTGAAAAGGTATCGTCTCTTTTTATTCTCAGAAACCAGAGGTGAAACCCATGAGCAAACAGAAATATTAATGCCAATTCACCTGTTGATTTATCTCAGAAAAGACCTTGGCAATGCATCTCCGATATCATCAATTGAAAAACTTAAATAGATGATCTTTGTGTAGTGGTAGCATCTGTCTATATCAATAACGTATGCTTCTGGTCACTTGTTTAAGAAAGCCTAAAATTCTATACAATGCTAAGAAATGAATTGAAACTTTTGCTTTTGATTCACTTTGTAAATATACTTGCTGTGAAGTACTTATTACTTGGGATCTATTGTTAGTGACAGTAGAGAAAAGATGACACTACTGCTTTCCTTACCTAATTCTAGTAAGGAAGAATGCAGTCTTTGTCTTAAAAAAAATATATTTTTTAACACAAAATATTTCAAACACATAAAAGTATAAAGAATCATATGAAATATAAGGATCCAGAACCCAGGTTCAAAAAATTTTAATTATTTGGAATATTTGTTTCTGAATATGTTTCTATCCTTTATTATTCCATCCTAAGTTACTTACAGTGTGACAAACTAAATGTGTAGACTGATGAGTTTAAGATAATGCCTATGTGACAATACCAAACCCAAGATATAGAACATTTATAATACCTAGGAAGAGTCCTTGTGCTCTCTTCTACTTGATATTCTCCAAAGCTTTATCAAAAAGTTTAAAACAAGCAAAACTATTCTGATCTCTATTATCATGAGTTAGTTTTATGTAAGTTACATGCTATACTTATATTACTAAAATTAATTTATTGATTCTCTCATTGTTGGACACTATTTTCAATGTTTTCTGTTGACAAACAAATTAATATTTTTATGCATATATATACAGCAAGGTGGGATTGCTAAAAATTAAGAAATATGTATTTTTTGAGCTTTACTAGGTATTAAAACATTCTCTTCAAAGTGATAGGATAGTACCAATTTATATTCTCATTAGCAATCTGAGAGATTTCCCATCTGAAATGGTCAGATATAAAAATTTTTGTCATTTTAATAGGGATTAGTGTCTTTTTTTCCGTTTATAAGCTATTGGGATTTCCTCTTATGTGCTGCCTATTTATGTCTCTTGCTTATTTTTCTATTGAGTTATTAGTTTTGCTGTCACTATTTTGAAGGTTTTTGCTTTGTTTTGTTTTGGCATCAGTTGTTGTTATAGTATTCCGGATTCTTTTTCCTTTGGGCCTTAGAGAGGACAAATATCTTTTCCCAAAATTTGTGGTTTGTATTTTAAATGTATCTTTAATAACATTAATGTTTTAAAAACTTCTAATTTTAATGGTTATTGATATTTTCCTTTATGGTTTGTACTTTTATGTCATTTAAGAAATCTTTCCATATGCCAAGGTCATAAAGAAAACTTCCAATATTTTCTTCTAACAGTTTTTAAGTTTTGCACTTTATATTTAGGAACTTTATTTCATCCATTGTACTGTTTTTCTATCCCTATATTAATACCATAGTGCTGTGGTTACCATTATTTTATAATACTCTTGCATTGTTAAGGAAGATATCTCTACCTTGTTCCTTTTTAAAATTCTCTTAGCTCCTCTTGGCAGTTTGCTATTTGATATGAATTCAGAGTCAGTCAAGTTTGTCAAAAGCCCTGCTGAATTTTATTTGTAATTACATCAATTTTAGAGAATAATTTGAGAGGAAAATTGATATTTTTGTAATGTCTCTTTCTGCCCATTGACTACATCCCTGTACTTATTCACATCTTCCTTCATGTTATCTAATAAGTTTTGTAATTTTCACCATAAAGGTGTTCAACCTATTTTGTTAAGTGTTGTCCTATATAACTTAGAAGTTTGTGCTATTATGTACAGAATCAGTTTTCTATTTCACTGATTATTAATTATGGTTATTATTGGTATATATTCAGCAATCTTATTTCTTCTGGTAATTCTTTTAAGTTTCCTACATGAACATGTATATCATTAACAAATAATGACAACTTTTCTCTTAAATTCCAATTCATAAATATTCAATTTATTTTTCCTGTCATATTACATTATTAAACCTTTACATCGTGTTAAATAAAAGTAGTAAGATTAGAACTATCTATTCTGTTTCTTAGTTTAATGGAACTATTTTGGAACTGTAATGTTTGTTTGGCACCTTTCCTCCACATTGTGAGACAGAAATCAAAATTACTATGGTAAAGGAAGTACCCATAATCCATTTATACCTTGCTAGAAATTTTTAATTAGCAATAATAATTAAATTTTATCAAATACATTTCTACATCAATAATATAAAATATTTTCCATTAGTATGCTAATATTGTGTGCATTAATATATTTCCTATATTAAGAAAATTAATATTAACATTCCTATATTTTTATATTCTTGGAAGAATTTTTCACTGAAAAAAATATTTTTTTAACATTTTACATAGTATATTTGCATTGATGATTATCTCTTAATTTTCATTTTTAAAAATTATTGAAGAATTTTGGTGTTGTGGTGGTACTAGCATTTTAAAATAAATTGAGTAACATTTCAGTTTTTTATAATTCTGAAGCCATTTTTACACTACAGGGATTACCTAGCAATAAGAGGGGCTTCATAATTAGAGATTAAAGTAGTAAAAATATTATCCCTAATATTATTTATCTGAAACTTCTCCCTTCTTTAACTAATTGATAGATATTTTTATATTTCATTTACTTTTTTCAAAAACTGGTTTTGATTTTGCTTATTCACACTATTTTCTTCTTTGTATTCTATGGCATTACTTTCTGCTTTTATCAGCATATGTTCTTCTATAACAATTTTAGATCATTTTTATTTTTCTAGATTCTTGAGTTGAATTATTACTCATTTATTTCAATAAGTGTTAGTAGCTTTTAAAATGAACTCTAAGTTTCTCATTGGTTGTATATTGTATTTTGATGTATAGTTTTGTTATATTTTAAATAGTTTTTATTGACCATTATAATTTGTTTTTAATGTTTGAGTTACTTGGAAGTGTATTTTCTGCTTTCTAAACATATTTGCTCAATTTTTATTATTGATTCTAAATTTAAATGCATTGTAATGAAGCTGGGCAGTGTGGCTCATATTTAAAATCCCAGCTATTCGGGAGGCTGAGGCAAAGCATCAGATCCAAAGTTCAAGTCAGCCTGGGCAACTTAGTGAGACCCTGTTTCAAAGTAAAAGAAAAGAGGCTGGGGACATAGCTCAATGCAAAGCAAACTTGGTTTCAGTCCATAGTACCAAAAGGTGGGGAAAAAATACAGCATCGCAATGAGAAAATGTGTTTTATGTGGTTTTAATTGGAGAAAAAAGTCTTTTGAAATTTCTTTTATGATTTTATCTAGTATCTATATTTTACTGTTGGTCTTGAAATGTTTAGGTGGCTTAGTTGTTTCTGTAATGCTCATTATAAAATATTTATATGTATTTTAATTATGTATATTTCTAATAAAAATAAAATCTACTTTTTAATATTTTGGACACTCTTAATATAAATAAGATGCTTAGGTGTTTTATCTGCCTATTAAACATCAATGTTGTCCATGTAATTATTGGAGCTTTAGTTTTATCTATTTGTTTTTAATCATATGGAAAAGTGGTTATCATTGATTTCTGAAATCAATGCTTGATTATATAGTTACATAACTTAGGTATTACTGTGCCCACTGTTACTCTTGAATCCTATAGCTTCTTTTCAGGGTTCAGTTATTTTTATTGTTAAATTACCCTTTTTTTAGTGAGGACCCTGGGTAATACTATCTTTTTGGATGTCTAAAACTTTTATTTTGTATTTTATCTTTAATAACAATTTATATGAATATTTTTGTTCAGAATTTTGAAGATGATATTCAATTTTATCTGTAACCCTTACTCTGTCTACTCTTACCTTAGATAAATCTGCTATCAGTCTATTCTTATCTATTTATAGGTAATCTGCTTTTCCTCTGGAAGCTCTTAAGACTTTGTCTTGTAGTTTCTCTTAAATGTGACTGGTTGTAAATTTATTTAGGATTACCAGTCATGTATTCAGGATATACTTGTGAATGACAGCACTCCAATTCTGCAAAATTCTAAGCTGTTGTCTTTTGCCTGATTGTTTCTTTGTCTTTACCTCCATTTTCTTCTTTTGGAATTCTGATAAAATATATATGGATGTTTCCTAATCAGTTTACCATATCTCAACAGCTATTTCATTTTCTAAAAATCGAGTTTACCTTCTGTGATTTTTTTCTAAACATATTTCTTTAAACTACTTTTCAACTCAATTCTCTTCTTGAAACTACTTTAGGTTACCCCATTATTGCACCTTTAATGTCAAGGAACATCCTTTGAAATTTTCTGATTCATTTGTCTTATTTTCCTATTCTTATTTTATTACTATTTTTGTCTAATAATAACATTTTATAGGTATGATTATTTTATCTCTTAGTATCTCAAACATACTCAAGTTAATTTCTTAAAATCAAATTCATCTGGAGTAAATGCTCTACTTATTGATTTTGTTGGTTTTCTTAGCATTAGATTTCTTGCTATATTTTAGAACTTTTTTTTACGAAGTGGTGTAGTGATGTGCTGGCAAATGCCTGTAATTCCAGCAGCTTAGGAGGCTGAGGCAGGAGGATCATGTTTTCAAAGACAGCCTCAGCAACTCAGTGAGGTGCTAAGCAACTCAGTGAGATCCTGTCTCTAAATAAAATATAAAAAAGGGGCTGGGGTTGTGGCTCAGTGGTTGAGTGGTTGAGTATCCCTGGGTTCAATCCTTAGTACCAAAAAAAAAAAAAGAAAAAAAAAATATCTTACAGTTACTGTTGATCATAAGACATTTTTGTTTTGTCTCTTATTTCCTTTTTCCCCTTTTCTTTATTCACACATCCCTTTCTAGTGATTTATAGTTGCTTGTATTTGGATTGTTGAATTCCTAGGCCCAATCCAAACCTTAATAGCAGCAACTCTCATCTTCATTTCTTTAAGAACAT